CGGACAGATAATGGGGGATTCAAAACACCAGCTTTGCTTATATTTCCATTCTGCTTTAAATGTTCTTGGAGGGTCGACCAAGGTTGGCTAAGAGTGTTCGACATGGATTTGTTTCCACTTCTGCCTTTAGCATGTTGTTGTCGACATGCGCAGAAACGACATTACTTTCCGGTCCCCCTATTATATATATACTGATAAAATTTTTAAATAATTAATAAAAATATGGATATTTTACTTTATTATGAAGTTTTCTGAGTATTAATACAATATTAAACATGCAATCAAGAAATTAGTATACACCTAAAATCATTCGTAATATCAGATTTGAGTTATTTAAATTAATATATTGATTTCCTGTTACAAGGTATTTTCTTCCTTCTTTCCGCATACCTTCGTGGTGTAATGGTAGCACATTCGCCCCGTATTACAGGTCCAGGTTCGAGTCCGGCGAGGGATTGAATATTGACTATTGAGAAAAATGAGTCATTTTTCACATTCCTAACCCTTCCAATGCATGCACTTAAAGGTGCTTGTTGGGAAAGCAGGCCAATCCAATCAACTAATCCAAGTTGGTGACATAAACCATATCATTTTGAAGTTTAGGTAATAAGAAGAGAATGGAATGGATTAATCCCTGAAATTTACATCGTGCCCTTCCCTGAAGCTGAATACGGAACTATTTAATAATCGCCGTAGTATTATCCTGTAGTATCTCACGAGAGTTCTGCCTTAATTTCTCTTAACGGCAATAAGCAAAAGGGATTACAAAATATCATTCTCGATGTGCAATTTTTCGTTTGTTAACTACTATGAAATCTAGTCAAAAGTATAATCAAAATTTAATGTCACTGGATTGAAAATTCATTTAATAAAAATCCGAAAGCTTCCAGATTTTATATTACGCTCAAAAGGGCGTTTTATTAACGTTTCGTATGTCACCTTTACTCATTAAATATAATGTTCTTCGCACTCAGAGCATAAAATTCAGTTCAACAGTTAAGAACATATCTTTAGAATTTAAGATACACGGTCTCGTGCGCTGGAGATAAAAGTGCTTTTTTTCTTCGTACAGTGTTCCCATTGCTCGCTTTGAAATCGTTGAGTTTATTAATCAAAAAATCTTTAATGTTTGGCAAAATTGGACATAAAACAGATTCCAAATTTCGGCTTCCAAATGCGCAAATTCGGATGGAGGGTCTCGTTGTTCAAAACTGAATGTCTCTAGGTATCGCTGCTTTCTCACAGTGCGAGAAACGTACATACATTTATACAGATTCTTCATTATTTAATATCTTTAAATATAATGCAAGGCTCTAATATTTGGTGGCAACAATTTGAAAAGTGAACCGACATTTATATTCAACCGGCGCAAAATGCCAAAACGAAATTATTAGCCCTTCTGGGAAATTGCCCCTTTGGATAAAAACTATAATGCAAAATGCTTTCAGTTTTAACCTTAATAAATATGGCTGCTTTAGGAAGAAATTTATTTAAATTTATTTTAATTAAATTATTTTAATGTTAAACTTGTAGAGACATTAGGTATTTTTTTGGAAGCAGGAGAGATGAAAAATGAGCAATGCCTTCGCCTGGACTCGAAACATGGACCTCTCGAATACGCGTCGAGTGTGCTGACCACTACACCACGATGGCAAGAAAAAGACCTAAGAAGGCGAGAAAAATACCTTACATAACCTCCCTTTAAAGGGCGACTGGGCATTAGAGGACCCAATCGCCAAATCTTGGTAGTGAAGAACCTTTTAGTTCGGGCGCCACTATAGAGATATAAGTTTTTTTTTTTTTTTTTTTTTTTTTTTTTTTTTTTTTTTTGGGGAAGCAGGAGAGATGAAAAACGAGCAACGCCTTCGCCTGGACTCGAACCCTGGACCTCTCGAATACGCGCGCGCCGAGTGTGCTGACTACTACACCATAAAGTCATGCTAAGAAGGCGAGAGAAATACCTTATAAACTATTTCAGGAATAAAATTCCAGCAGATTTCGTAAGTGAATACTCTTTTTATCATGAAGTAATAAAAATACAGAACTTGAGCCGAAGTCACTGTTTTCAATGTATTTACCTATCTTAATGCGGAAATAGAGTACCTGATGTATACAACCAAATTTAAGTTTAGCCAAAATATGTTATTCCAGGTTTCAGAATAAACCATTTATCAGAAAATGTTAATTTGTAAAAGCGAAAATCAACTACCGGAAGCCATAAAATCGAATAGTTCGGGCTGTGTTATATTAAAGGTACCGATATTCCTTTAAAGATTTTTTTTTTCATTTAATTTGCACACATGTCATAAACCAAAAGTATTCACTGAAGAATCGCTTGAAAATGTTAGAAAGTTGAAAACAAAATTATTACATAAACAGTGAAAACAATTTTCCAGTCGAAAAATTTGGTACCTTTATAATCGTTATAGAATCTCTGACACTATTTATATTTAGTTTTCATTGTGCCTTTATTAGAAATCCCACTACAAATGAGTTCACATATATATATTGTATAAAACTATCAAGTACAATACACATTTAGTGCAGAAATTGAGCAAAAGAATAAAGCATTCGCTCTGTGCCAAAGCACTTGCTTTAAAAACGAAATCACTACCAGTAGATTTTGTAAGACATATTTGCATCCATTTCTCTTTACTTCTGAAGCAAATGTTATGTTTTTCTGAAGTATATAGAGCCCCGAAGTTTTTATTGCTGGCATCTTCGTTTTCCTTCTTCGGCCGGCAATAAAAGCTTCTACATATCCTTCAGGTAGACATAACAATTAAGTTCTTTATTCTGTGATGAAAGGGTGTCCTTCAGTCTGTTAAAAATATTTAACACTATCCGAAATACTGCATTTCATACTTCCCTTTTCCTACTTCACATACAGGTGCGTTTTTCCTTTTCCTTCACACACACAAAAACACAGCAGAGTTAGAAACTGCATTAATGAAATATAATCCTGCACAAAAACATAAATCTGCACACTTTTAGTTATCATTTATGAAAGTTCTAGACAGAAATATTTAACTGTGCTTCGGAGAAGGTACCATAATTCAAGAACCTAGAAAATCACGTTTATAAATATAGTTTCACATGCTTCGTCAATTTCTGAATAGTAAGGAGTCAAAATATGGAGTAGAATTTTGATTTATTATGACATGATTAACCCTATAAAGCTAGTAAGAGCAATAATTCATTTTCTCTTCTTTTCTGTAAATAAAAATACTTATAATTGAATCATAAATTTTTTAATTAAATGTTTACATTAGTAACTTTTAGAAGAATCTAAATTTGCAAGAATTCAGTGCCTTCGTGTGTCTCCAATTATTATAATAATTATAATTCAGAATTCAGTTACTAGAAAAGAGCATTCTTTATGAGCTTCGTTGATATTTAAAAAAAAACTTCAGTTTATATCATTAAGAATAAAGAAGTAACAAAAAGAAACCTGAACACATATGAGCATTCAAACTATATTCTTCTTGTTTATCATAATTTTCTTCGAGATTAATGTGAACATATGAGTGTTTGTTCTTTTTTAGTTCACATATATGTTAATAAACATGTTTCCTATTACTATGCAAGTTTATTACCCTCCTGAAGAGTTTCTATAGTACAGTAAATTCCGTAAGCTTCTGAAAACTCCAATAAACCAAATGGTTTCCTTCTGTTACTTTATTTTTTTTTTGCAATAACTAGTTATTGCTATCCACTTTATCAAGCTATCATTTCTTCAGAGCACTGTATCATAGTTTTCATCAATTCTGAATTTGTAAAGAATACGTAATCAAATTTTTTCTCGTATGATCATAATTTTGAGTGAAATTTAAAACAACACTGAAAACATATGATTTCAAATGTTTGCACAAATGTATTCCAAAGAATGTTATTTTCGAAAATGAGGTACATAATATGATATAATTGATATTTAACTGATACTGATAATATGATATGATAATAAACTGATATTTAATGCATTACTTTTAATAACTTTTAAAATCTAAGTATCAGTTGTTTCATTCTTTAATAAAAGAAACCAGTTTAGATATGCTATTATTGTTTTTTGTTTTCTGGGGTTCAAATTAGCCATTAATTATTTAAAATCTCATTTATGATCTTGAATGAAGTTTTTCCTGATTGCTTTATCAAACTCAGATCAACCAACCTCTAAATACTAATAACGCAAACCATCATCTACCGAGTACACAATAATATACCTGATAATATTAGCAAATGAATGGTTACGCTCGCGTGTAAGTCATTTTCGACGATAACTTAGTCTGAATGTAACTAAAGTTCTTTATGGAACTATGCATTAAGGGTACTCGTACACCTTAAAACCCATAAGATCTTCGACTATGTGACTGTTGCAAGAATTGGGATAACTTATTTATTTTAAAAGCAATTACTTCCAACTTTTTACAGCTGACTCCATAATATAGCTGCTTTCTGAAATAATAATCAGAAAGTTTGTGTTGCCACAAATAGTTTTATAATTTAATCCGCTTTGTGACAAAATTTTTCGTCGTGGTTTCCGCCTTGCGCGCACAGTTTAAAACATTCTGTTGCATAATTTAATTCCATATTTAATATATAGCTTTTATAACATTTGGAAACTATCGTGAACCAAAAATTCTAAGAATTTCATGTTAAATTTTTATTTTATTTGGGGTCAAGTTTATAAAATGTATTTTATTAAAAAAAATCTGTAATGTTTTCGTGCATAAAATTTTTCACTATTAAATATTCATCAGAGTTTTGGTTTAGTTAGAAAATAGTGCCCATATAAAGAATTTCATCCAATTTCAAGTATGTACAACTAGCCATTTTTAAAATATCATGCGCGCAACGTAGAAAAAATGACGAAACATTTTGTCACAGAGCTGATTAAATTACAAAAATATTTCTGGCAACACAAACTTTCTGGTTACTAGTTTCCGAAGCAGCTATATTGTGCAGTTAGCTGTAAAAAGTTGGAAGTAATTGCTTTTAAAATAAATAAAATATCTCAATTTTTGCAGCAGTCATGTAATTCGAAGCTCATAAGGGGTTAAGGTGTATAAGCCCCCTTAAAAAACAAGATCGAGATCGTTGCTAGTGACATTAATTCTAACCGTATCCGTGACCGAAGTGTTATTTTTTACCGCAGCAATGCGATCCTTTTGCAATTTTCTATCCTTATTCGCTAGTTCCTTCATCGGCAGAAGTGTCACATTTTCGTGGCCATTGCAAGATTTGTCGGTCTTTGCACTTGCACCTCTTCTGGATGAAGGATTTGCAGCCACAGTATTGGAATGAAAGCAAGGAAGCACAACCATGAACTCTTTCCTAAAATTTTCATTGAGCCAAGCATAGAGAAAGGGGTTATAGCAAGTAGAACTCATAGCTGCTGCATGAGAGAGGAAGAAAATAACATTCAAGAATGTCCAAGAGGCCGCTGGTATGTAAAAATCAATGATCAAGTTGTATATATTAATGGGCAGCCACGAAGCACCGAAGATCACAACCATTGTGATCAGCATCCGATTGGTTCGCCGAGTACGCTCCCGTTCCATCTCCTCTTTCTTGATGGACTTGGCTCCTGGCTTTGTCCTAGCGCGGTTCTTCAGCTTGATGCATACTTTCATATAGCAGAAAGTTATGATGATAAAAGGAATCACGAACTGTAGTATTGAAGTTGAGAATCCGAAAGCCTTTCTGCTCGTTTCATGTGGCCACACTTCGTCGCAGTATAGCCCTTTCTCAGTAGGTATCAAGTCCATGAAAATACCGTATGGGAGAGTAAGTAATCCAGCCAACAGCCAAACAAAGATGATGATCAGATAACAGTAGGTGACCTGCAACCTCGGCTTGAAAGGATAGATGATCACGAAAAATCGATCTATAGCAATGGACATTAATGTGAATGCTGATATATAAACACTCACACCTTGCGCATAAGGAACCAAGTGACATAAAATCTGGCCGAAAATCCATTCTCTCATGAACATGTAAAGAGGAGTAAACGGTACAGCAAACATGCACAAAAGAATGTCTGACAAAGCCAGATTGGTGATGAAAAAATTTGTGACTGTCTGCATAGATTTATTGCGGAACACTACATAGCATACCAGCACATTTCCGCAGATTCCGATGGCAAAAATAGCGATATAAATAGCATAGAAGATGGCTTTAAGTCCTGGTAGGCTGGTAAAAATATCTACTTGATGGTCGTAGTATTCTTCCTCTTCAAGCAACGATCCGTTTTGGCTCAAGTTTTGCCAGTCCAAAGTATAGTTCTGCATCAGAATAGCCAAAGCGGCGTAACTAGTTACGTGGAAACCATTTGCTATGTGAATAGACATTATCTTTTCAAACATAAAGAACAATCAAATCCTTTTACTATAAAATATGTGCAGAAAGCGAAGCCATGTCTATTTGAGCTTGTTGAACTGTGATTTATCTTCCCTTTAACCTGTAAGAAAAAAAAAACTGTGGGTGAATACCAAACAATTACATAACTTATTATACTAAAAAAACAAAACATTTCAAAATAAAATAAACAAAATCATTTCAAAATAGAAACAAAATGTTTAAAATAAATGGTATGGTTAAGTATTAATCCTTTGCGGTGTAAAGAACGCTCCTGAACTTTCTACTAGAAAGACCTATGATGCTCTCGAATAGAGAGACTCCTCACACTACGAGGTCTATAATTCATTTTAATAACTATTTTAAAGAACTGTGAATGGCAATGACTTAACTGAGTAATACGCATGCGTAAAGAGAAGAGACTTCTGGTGAGACGCCTGTCGAAGAGAGAGGTTTTGAGAAGCTCCGCCATCGAGCTGAGGGGTGGAGACATAAATCGTCCAGTGATGACGAGTGCCATCTTCATTAACGTCTCTGATCGTGTCACCAGCTCGGATATCTACTAAAGTTTTCTAAAGTATAATAAAGTTGTATCTGTGGTATGTGCTGTGAATAAAAAGTGATGCATCACCAATACCAGTGTTAATTCCGTTACCACTGAAGCATCCACGACGTTTGTGTTTACTGGACAAAATTTTACTCTAGGCACAGTGTGTTCGGTTTGGACACACCTAAAATTTTCCTTCTGTACGCACAGAAAAATTGAATGAAAAAGGATTTTATAGGTTACTCTGAACCTTCTTTATTTATAGTAGATGGCAGCTCAACACAAGCCAGTCCATATATTCTAGCCATGTTAGGTTTTTTAAGACCCTCATTTTTCAAAGAAATCTTCCAGATCTTTTTAGGGTATAAAAGGATGTTTGAAAATAAATTTATATGGTATTTTTGGAGTATGCTAATCCTTATTCTATATTAGTTTTAAATTTTTACCTTCAAATCTTGCCTAAAATCAAACGGCGAACCTAGGTGTGCCCAGACCGGGCTCACCGATCATCTAGGACAACTGAGAGTCTGTTTTTTTTTTTTTTTTTTTTTTTTTTTTTTTTTTTTTTGTTTCTCCGCATCTCATCGGTCAGTTCATTAACAACAATGATCGTTTCAGCACTCTTTTCGAAGTTCTAGTCTAATCAGTGTGCCCACTTTGGGCACACCCACAGAATTAAACGATAAGTTCACAAAATTTTACTTGTGTTTACAAATTTTAGTTGTGTTTACTTCAAAAAATTTTACTCTAGGCCTAATTAGGCTGCCTACCTTTTCTTTTTCTTTTTTTTTTTTTTTTAATCAAAACTCCAACTTTAAAAGGTAGCGTGCCGGAAATGGTTAATGAAATAGTTTCGTGAGACATTATCAATTTCATATCACTATCATGAATATATAACACAAATATTATTTAACATCTATTTTGATTTTACTACTAAGTTTGATATTGAACTTCAGAATTAATCTATAGACAATCAATTAAAAAAACTCCTTTATTCGCAGTATTAAATTAATTTGGAATTTGTGAATGAGTAAACTTTTTTTTTTTTTTTTTTAATTTACAAAAGATTTGATATTTAGATTTTCCTCTCTTCCTCCTAGAAATCAATATTCAAAGTTAATGTAGTTTCCGATTTACCTTTCATGCTATGCATATTTTGCCAATCATTTTATCACATGATCACATACCAAATTCTAATATTTAAACAAACAAAATGGCGCCATAGAGAATTCTATTCTATTCTCTGCTGCGAATATAACTTGAGTTGAAACATTTTAATTAAATTCTCCTTACAAGAGTCACAAATAACTTTGCTAAGTATTAAATATTCTGATTTTCTTCTCAAAATACTAAATATTTTATTAATTTAACGCACTGAATAACATTTTAGAATTTTGAATGCTCCAAAATTCGACAGACATTTAAAAAAGTGTTGCATTTTATTAAGTGTTTACATACAAAAGTAACATAAGCACAAAAATTACTAACATTTTAGTTTTTTAATTATAATTAATTATTTTAATGATTTTAAGTTAGTTCTAGCTAATTAGTTTAATGTTTTATAAAGTTAGTTCTAGATGATTAGTTAAATGGTTTTAAGCAAATTCTAGTAATTCCAGTTAATCAGTTTAATGGTTTTCAATTTAAAAAATCTTTTGTCAAATAATCGACTACTTAATTTTCTATAATGGTAAAGTCAAGAAAAATTCGATTATTTGACAAAAAAAGACTTTAATTTTAAAAACATTAAACCAATCAACTGGAGTTCTGATATCTCCGAAAACATGTTAATATTATTGCCAAATCTGTAATCAATCAAACCCACCACAAATATCGTAGCTTACGAAGTTCCACTTAATTCTGATTTGCTGCTCAAATCAGATTGTTTAACATTTTCTGCGCTTACGCCATCCGCAAATCGTTTAAACTACTCAACGTTTTTCACTTTTTAGAGTTTGTAAACTGGCAACATTGCGAACTAACAGCTGTCGTTCTGAAAAATTAAGATGCTTCGTTGCTCCACATGGAAGTAAGTCTTCTGTTTCTTTCGTTATTTTTCGTCTAATAGTTTCTTATTTTGATGTATTCGCGTACCACCTAATTCATTTTACTATTTAGTATGTTTTTATATTATTCTGTATTATCTATTGATTTTTTTAGAAATTAAATATAAAGTTATTTCTTACAGACGTTTAATTTTGTTCCAAAACATTTGCCCGACCATTAACAACTGAGCAGAATTTAAATTATGATTCTTTTATTGAAAAATAGCGTTGTACTGGGGATAGGCAAATTTAAAGTAGCTTGTATTGATTATTATTTTACTCGTCTCTAGAAAATTTTCAACTTGAAGAAATAAAGTTTGATTATATTTTTTATTTATTAAATAAAAGAAGCCTCGTATAATCTGAGCAGCAGTTTCTTTAGTATACGGTATACACGAGATTTGGTGACATTATGATGAGAATTATTTTTTTATGACGATTCATTTTGGTATTGGCAACAATTTTAAAAATCGTGCCAAGGCCATACACTAGGATTTTACATGAGTTGTCTCCTTAAAAAAGAGTTATACTAGATAAGCCTTTATTTGCTTGATATAATTTTGTATTTCTGATTTTCTCTTTTCTAAATTTTAGTTTACCATGTAAGCTATATTTATAGTTAATTCTTAAAAATATTTAAATCATTTCCATCTGACAATTTTTCGAATTTAATTATTATTATTATTATTACTGCTACATTTTCTACATGCTTATTATTACTTTTATTATTATTATTTCCTCTTTGCGTGATTTATTTTATATGTTTTATTCTTGTTTCTCGTTGGTACTAATAATCACACACACACATAATATATGCAATGTATAATGTAATACACATTCTCTAATAGTTTGGTATTATTATTCTCCTTAGAATATGTCTAAATTCTTAAAAAATGATTCTTAGAAAATTATTCTGAAGTCTGAAGTTTCTATACTCATTGCTTTGTAAATATGTATAATTTTTTCCATAAAAATAAATCTTCCTTTTTAAGAAATAAAAAAGTCTGATGTGAACACCACATGACTTCCTTGTACGGAATATTAAATTATACGCATTTTTTCTTGCATTTCATTTAAACTTATTGGATTGAATTAAATCTACTTCGCCGACAGCGCATAAATCACAATAGAATAAATGCATTCTTTAAAATTCACTCTAGTATCTGTTTACCATACCGACACTCTGGCGCTAGATTCACTTAACAGTATTATATTTCGTTCATATTATAACTAATAATGCACAAAATTTATATCATTTAAAGAATAAATTATCTAATCGTTGCCACATGTTCATTTCAAATACTATAATAAAGCTAGAAGATTGTATAAAAGAAATTAAGCAAACAAAACAAAAAGAAAACAGTTTTTTCCAGACGATGAGTATTTCTCATTCAATTAATTCAGTTCTCACTTCGCGAGAAGCAAACATACATAAAAACTCAAAATATCTATATTAAAATTACGAAATAAATCTTAAAAACACTTATTTCCTCGAAAAATTCCAGAAAGGATTAAGCATGATTTAATTCGCAAGGAATGAACGTTATCTTTGGTTACGAAGCTAACGTTTCTCTAGATTGCAACAAATCCACTAGTCTGCTGTTCCAATGTAAACAATCAATGGTCGCCATAAAAAAAAGGCTTAGCGGCACTTAAACAACTTTAAATTGTTGATAATTCTAAAAATATGCATACAGATTTACTAAAGGCATATAAAAACCTTAACTGTGGAAATAAAAACAAACATAATTCAATCATTTTTAAAGCAAAAAATGTACAATTTATAAACATATAGAGTAAAGAAACTGAGATCACTGAGCGGTAACAGAGTGGATATATATATAAATATATTTATATACGTTTGGCGCGGCCGATTGAAACCAAAATACGAGGTGCACATCTACATGTTATATAGCTTATATACAAAATTTCAACGTTCTGAGGCTACTCGTTTTTGAGTTATGCGAGATACGTACGTACATACGTTCGTACAGACGCCACGAAAAAGTCTCTTCAGGATTCATTTTAAAGCAGTTTTTTAGTTTTTTGGAGTAAAAGAGTCTTTTATTCTGTCCTTACGTACAGATACTTCGCAAAAATATCGTTAAATTGCATTCGAAAGCGGTCAAAGTGGATATTTTCGTTGAAATATGCTGCCTGAAACTTTTCGCGATTACAATACTTCCTTTTTACTTCGTACAAGGAAGTAAAAATAGTTCATCCATCTTTCAAGTCAGTTCAGGAACCGATAACGTAACAATTGTCAAAAATGGGAACAACTGAAGATTTTCAATGAAATAATTTTTTTCTCCGGATAAAGGCTTCGAAATGTAAAATTCCTAGCAATAATGAAAGTTCCCATTAAAGAACTTTAGTGCCAATTATACTAATGATTAAAGTCTAAAACCAACGGAACCGAAAAATTTTCAAATGCTTTCAGTAATTAGGGTTTATTAAGGAAAACAATGGGTGAAA